GAAATGCTCTGCTGTACTTTAGAATTAAATGTATGCAAGATTATGATACATTACTGCCTATCAAAAGGTGGCTTATGACCACGTAAAATGGCAGTTACATCGCACATAAATATGGTAGTACTGCACTGGGTATGGAGTGGTGCATTGGTCAGGGCGAGTATGACAGTCGGATATGCGACATTTTATTGCAATTTAATTGAAGAGGTTAATATCATTTTCCATTCCGTTTTAAATTAATGTCATTTTAGGGAGAATATTGCATGTATAAAAATAGGTTAATATTAAGATGCATTGTATTATGCATTGTCCATAACTGAAGCATCATTATTTATATTTGTATCCAGATTTTTTTCTTAGATTTTTATCCTGCAAGCGGCAATTCATGAAAACAATAGTATATTATTGCATTTACTGAACGCAGTATGGGAGTACACATGTACTCTTCGATGAGTTATGCATAAAGTGTACATCTGCTCTTAGTTTTAATAGTGTCTATGCAAGCCTTCAAATTGCACTTGCATTGGCAAATGTATACGATAATTCATGAGCTTCCATTTATAGTTTTTTTCCACGTGGTATTGAATTACTTTGGGCTTTCCACTTTAAAGAATGTTTACGAAAAAAGCGGCCGAGACAGGAACAAACAACTATATTTCCATCGAGTCACTTTTTATCCTCATCTGGCCTTTGAAGGAATACAATTGTAAATCTATATTCCACTTTCAACAGGGGGGGGGGGGGGACACACGTTAAAAGGCCTAGATCAGTTCTTTAGGGAAGATTGTGGGGCAGTTGTTAGAGCACTGCTTCATGAACTGGGTGACTCGAGTTCACTCCCAGCCATGGCGAACATCAGTGGCGAGCGATGTTTGAAGGCACCCGTAGGCCCTTACCTGTCAACCAACCCACAATAACCCCCCTCGCCCCCCTCACCCCCCGTGACTGAAATGCTACGCTGAGGCCTTCATCTAGCAGTGGATTGATAAAGGGCCGAACATTGTACGCCATTATAAAATCAGTCTTACGGAGCTATTTGAAAAACTTTAACGCAGTGAGAATGTTCCGTTGAGGCCTTGTCTTTAGCTATGGATACAACAGCCGAGTATGCATTTCTTCTTACAGCAAATGATAGATTACGAATATAAAAGGTGATTATGTACGTTTTCATTTCAAGACGGAAAACACTGACTTCCTCTTCCACTTTTACAAGTCTTGGCTTTTATTCCGCATTTATTGAGCCACTTACCCTATTTGTAATATTAAAACACTCGTTAAATGCAAAGATATTTATTATTTTTCAAATACAGTAAAAGTATATATTTTGTGTGTGAATACATTGCACGCACATGTTGTGGAGCAGATGTACATTTTGTCCCAATATTAAGACTCATAATGTCAAAGAGTCTGAGTGGACTGCATGAGGGACCCAGTTCAATTCCCAGTCAAGACTGATGTCAGTAACATCAAAAGTGGTCCTGAGACTCTCTTTCACCAACTCGCATTGACCATAGTGGCGAAGTATGGTCAAACATAACCGATATTATATCGGGAGGCCTTCTTATTCAATTATGCGTTAAGTCATGTAACTATCAAGGAATACATCCAGAAAAGAAACAGGGAGTTTATCTTGTAGTGCAGGCACGTTCCAACCTGGTAATTTGCAACACACATTTTTTAAAAATCATACTTATGATGAAGTAAAAGAATTGTAAGTGCAACGCGATGTGAAACAGCTAATGCATGCAAAGTTTATCATTATTGCAGTGGTGCCAGGTCTCCAATTTATATTTTTTGTCCGTATAATTCTACTTTACTTGATCATAATGTTTAAAAAATATTTTTTTATGAGATGGAAAAACAAACGATACACCGTTCAAAACACATGTATTATTTAATCACAAACATTACACATTTGTTTCTCTTTCGAATAAACGCATTTCGAATCAAGCGAATCATACAATAATAACATAACCAGTAGCTATGGTCAATCCACTGCTGAATCAAAGCCCCTTCTCCCCCTACCAAAGCTAGAGTCAGGATTCAACTGTGAAAACAGTGCATAAATCACGGCTCAACAACGCCTGTGGGTGGCTACTGAGAAACAATTGAATGTTGATAGGAGAGTTAATTAACACATTCATCTGAATAAACACATGGAAATGTTATATGAGAATACACTGCTTTCTCTGGAATCTTAAAATGCAACTCCAGTGTGTGCTGCAAATCTACAGCTGGCGATGATGCTTTTAGAAGCAATGTTTACCATTCTGGAACAAAACAACGTGTATTTATTTACACCCAAATTTGGCATCTGCCCACGGATGTTACCAAATAACCAAGGCACAAATGGGCAGATGTTGAATATATTCACATCAACATTGCGCACAACAGCAGTTGCGACAGGTTAGAAATGTTTTTTTTCAATAGAATCAGATTTTAATGTGTACGAACGCTGCCACTGTATAGCATGGTTAGCGCACTGGTGTAAGGGTCGCAGGTTTGATTTCCAGGTCTCTTAAAATGTCCCACCACCGCTGTCCACCCAGCAACATGAATGGGTTCACCACAGTTAGCCGATGGGCAGATCGCCTGCAGTGGTGTAAAATGCCGGTTACTCTCACCTCTCTCATGACGTTTGGCAAGCGTGGAATAGTAGGCAAAAAAACACACACACACTCTGTCCAGTGCGATGATTGTCTGAACCTCTTCTCGAGTGGAGACCCTTTCGCCACCAGCGGCACGAACGAGCTATTACAAAGGCTGCACATTAATTCACTTTTTACCTCACGTATAATACAACGGTCTTCAGACGTTGAGGTACATATGACAGGGTGGTCCAGATGCCTTGTGCCATCTTAATAAAATTGACCCCTAACATTTCTGTTTTAAATAAACCTTTCTTTAAAATGATTGAGTAACATTCAAATGGGGGTTACAAAACTTCTGGACCACCCTGTGCCTCACCACAAAGCAGCACAATTATTACTCAGTTCAACCAACAACATAAGAAGTGGAATATCCAAAGTTGATGTTCAGAATCAAACACGTGACCAAATACGGTTTGCAGATAAATATTACATCAGACTTTACCCATTGTGCGGAAAGCAATTAAAACCTCCAATAAATGTAAGCACCATGACTGTCGTGAGAAATCAAATGAAAATGTAACTCTTCAAAAAAAATGCATATTCTACTTCCAGATTAGGTCGACTACAAATGGTTCTCGTACCAGCTGGAAAAACTGAGTGGGAGTGTATAAAATGAGAAGAGCTCAAGTTGTAAAGTGAGATGCTGCAGATGTGGCCACTGATGGGGCCTAATGCAGAGTGCGTGCGGCAAAATCTGCTTAAAGTCAAGCAAACATGTTGGACATTAATCATTCACACTTGCAGAAAATGTGTGTGTGTTTTTTTTCTCTCTCCCTTTAAAGCCAGCCCCTCAAATGTAATCTGTGCACGCCACGGGAAAAAATGCATTCAACAAAAAGGCGAGAACACTCCCCATAGGTTTACCACGTGTCGTAGTGCCTTGGCAAGAAAATGACCCTCGTGCACTATCGCCACCTGCTGTCTAGAACGACGCGCACGAGACGCTTCACTCGAGAGGGCATGCGGTTCTGGCGACGGCTCACAAACACATTTTTATTTTTAAATGCCCACGGTTTAAATGTCTCTCACAACGGGAAAGTAGTGTTGTCATTGCACGGCTTCATTCGTGTGGTTTTTGGTTTTGTTTACCCGCACTCCAATAACTCGGGAAACTACGAGAATGGTTATTGTTCGGGTTTTTTTTAATGGAAGCAAGACGAGGTGTGGGAAGGCAGAGGCGACACGGTCGGAGACTTGAGATATATTGTGAATACAATTAAAAAATATGAAAATAGCAAGGGCGTTTTTTTATATATATACATTGAAAAACATAATTAACGTTGTCAATGTCTGCATCACGGTGCTGACAATCTTTCACCACAATAATTAAATGAACATATGGACCACAGGTCTCCCTCGTTGATTACAGTATTTGCGACACTACTTTTGGAGTAGGCAAGACATTTCGATATTTCGTTCACTAAACTTACTTTTCATGAGTGAGTGTTTTCACGCACAGTGTATCCACGTGAAAAGTGTACATTTACTTCGACACTGTTTCAGCCCATTTCGGCTTACATTCTCCACGCAATACTTTGCAAAATGTATCCTTTTGAACAATGCAGCATCAACATTTGTCCACATTTGAGATAAGCAAAATACAGTAATTTCGTAACACTGGGTTTTAAACTTCCATTAACACCACATATCCATTATTTGTAGGTCTCCATCGTGTTTTCTGGCTGAACCGGGTTTTATTCAACACTATGTTCGACGTTTCGCTCCAAGTGCTGGGAGCTTGTTCAGAAACTAACTTCAGTGAAGCAGCAAAAATACCGGGCAATGTGTTAAACCGCGTGCAGTTGAACCCAAAAACGCATCGGAGGACTAAACAGCAAAAGTCTAGGCGGGTGTAATCCATGTTCTGTGGCCAGGTGCAAATACCTACAGGTGTACCTCTCTACAGGAAATTACACCCAAGATAACTAGCTCGCTAACTGTATTATATCATGTTCATAATAAGCCACACCACGGCGATAATTACCTATTGGAAACAAGAAAATCAGGTTTCAAAGTGTTGTCGTTTCAACCTGTGTTCCGTTGATTGCATCTGAGACAGGGTATTTTTTTTTCCACAGACCCTGAATACGATCACACATCTTTCCAATATTCAATCTCAGAGGTATTTCCATTCATTCTGAATCCTGATCTCTTGACATTCTCACGTACGGGTGTCATTGGTATTTGTTTTTCTCATACAGGTCTGTGCATATTACATATTTTAACATGCATTTGAAAGGCTTTTTAAAAATAATTTCTACTACAAAATCTCTATATATATCCCAATGCAAGATATTGGTACAATTCTGTATGTGTGTTTAGTTATAAACTATAAATTATAGTGACCAAATATAAAGGTATAAAATGTTTTATTATTTTTCAGATTAACATGGGTGCTTATATATAAACATATAACATATAAGTAACTACTTTTATGCAATAGACTATTAAAGTGTTTTCTGAGTAAGAATTTTTTAAAACTAAACAATGACGATAACATGCATTTAGAAAGGCCAAAAATGCGTAAAAATAACCATATGCATTTTGTCAAAAAATTACTCTTCATATATCCCAATTACATTATCATTATCAACTTTCGTCAGTTCACTGCGAAATAAAGGTCTCCCCAAGCGGCCACCAGCTCTCCTGCGATATACCAATGCCTTGTATAAAATTGTCCGATATGTTAATTAACTTTCACCTTAAAGTAAAATCCCTCTTAAAAGCATTTTTAAGTATGGATGTCAAGTGTCAGCTGTCACTAGGAGTGACATTATTGGCAAAAGCAAGCATGCTACTGGTATATATATAAACACTCACTAATCGGCTGAAACATCTTAATACATAGAGAACTGCAGACCATTGACGGCTCGTCACTTAGTCTTCCAGCTTGTTTGTGGTTCCTCAGCGATTGTGAGATGCAATTTGCATCAATGATGCTATATAAGACTCGTAACTAGATTGTTTTTTATCATTACTAATGGCTTCTATGTTTAATATACTGTACCTTTAATATAAGAACAGTATTTGCGTCTCCGTACCATATTTATTAATTGTATTTCAAGACTTTTTTTCTAACATCATGTGTTTGTCGAATGTTACTCATTACAGTTGAACCGGCTCGTTGTAAAATTAATAGCCAAGTCACTTAAGACCAATTACCCTATGGAATTTTCACAGGATACTCCAGCTTGCATTGGCTAATCTCTCCCTGTTGGCCAGAGATCAGGTTGAGTGGCCTTTTTTGATAATTATCAATCATTTCCACAACACTGTCAAACATCTGTAAAAGAGAAGAGAGCACACATCACCATATGCCATGGTTTCATAATTATGATGATGATTCAAGACTTTCTTTTAATGGACATCAGTAAAAACCAACTGGAATAAACTCAAACATATACACACATATATGTACAATGTACAGGGTGGTCTAGATCTATTCTGACTCCCATTTAATTATCTAAAACATAATACGTTTTAAGTAAGGTTCGTTTAAAACAGAAATGAATATGCAAAGGGAAAACAATTTTAGGGGTCAATGAATTGAGGGTCACCTGACATCTGGATCACCCTGCACAAGCTGATGTCAATGCACTGATGGCAAGGGCCTCCCCACACATTGTGGGCTGTGAGGGATGTCTGACCATACTTCACTGCGCTGGTCAGTGCGTGTCGGGGAAGGTAGGGTGGGTACAGGATGACAGTGGACTTGCTGCACCGCCCTCTGTTGAGCACAGTGCCTACCACTGCGCCTGTCCTTTGCGCATGATGGCCACCCATCCAACACTTATCCAGGCTCAAACCTGCTCAGATCTGACGATATTGGGCAAAGGATCGTACAGGCGACCCCCCCCCGCCCCCCACCTACGACCTAATTGGTTCCTGGATAAGTTGGGGGTATTTTAATCATGGCACCATTGCTCTTCACACACACACACGCACAGAGATTCCCCCACGTAGCTGAATTAGACTGTTGGGGAAAGTGCCGCAAACCATTTTCGGAATATGTCCCACGTAAGCCCAATTACCTTTCGAAACAGTCAACAAATTGTTGGGGGAAAAAAGTAATGTTCAACAGGTTCGTGAATAAAATGAATAATAGTTGGAGGTACACAGCTGGAACAAACAAAAAAACTACGGAGTATTTATAATGTAGGGTAGCATTGCAGGTGGACCGGGATCGCAATAATTAAATAGAGAGGGGAGGAACAGGCAAGGGTGCTATTTTAATATTAATTTAAAATGCAAAATAGCACACCAATGTCCCTAAAAAAAAACAATCACAATATTACCCATCATGCCATGTTAACCTGAAGCATGGACTGTGACAAAGGAGATGTAATAAAAGCTGAATAGCACACAAACAGGCAAGGAGAGACGCATGCTGGAAATAAAGAGTAACAGACAGAGGAATATTCATAATAAAAGTTTTTGGGTTAGATTGTGTAAAAATAAATGTGTCGCTAACCCACCGCCAACCGACACGGTAAATGAATAAGGTTTGTCACTTAAACAATACGTCCCAATTAGTTACTACTTCAGCAAACTGGTGTGTTGGAGAGTAAACCCACAACATTTACAATTTGAGAAATACGTGGGTCAGAGATCATTCCAGAATTCATCACCCAATGTATTCTTACCTCCTCCCCTTCCTTCTCATTACCCAGAGCGTACTTGGAAACACCCTCCATCCATCGAATTCTCAGGTTGTACACCGTGCCTTTGTAGAGTAGCGAAAGCGTGTACGGTTGATCCTTGCAAGCCTGAGCACTTTTCCGCACCAGGAAAGCGCCGCTCTACAGGGCATGCGGTACAGGATCATGAAACATTTATACACTGTAAGAATCTAAACGTTTGAATACAAATACGGTTTCCGGCCAATGTGTTCCAGCAAGAGTATGCGAGCCTCCGGAGCCTGGCCTGTTGTGTGTGCCGAGGTGTACGGCTCTGCACCACAACGATGGGTGGACCCAGAATTCACTTCTCGTGTGGCCCCAGGCTGTGGGATTCGCTTCAACTCGACGCTCGCTCTGCTGACTCCCTCGCTTCATTCAAATCCCCGCTTAAGACGCAAATTCTCTTTAAGATAATTTTTTGTACTTATTTTAATAATTCGTTTTTGGGGTTGCATTTTATTGCCGTAAGCTTGCATGTTTTTTCGTGGGCTATTTTGTATTCTGTACAGCACCTTATGACCTCTGGGTCGAAGGTGTCTTAGAAGTGTAAATATTATGCTGCAGATTTTATAAGATTATTAGAGGGGGGCAATTACACAGTGATTCAGATTAGCTGCGTACTAGGCATTTTAAATGAATGTGTAAAAGGACGAACGATAATGCATGTGTACAGATTGAGTATCTCATTTTTTTTTTTAAACTGATGTATGAGTGTGGTAAAGGAGCGGCGACATGATCTTTAGAGCCCATGAATAATGCGTACTGCTAAACTACAACATTGAATTTTTGTTTCTTTTGTACAGTCCAGTTTTCGCCACGAGAATAAATTAATCACTTTGCATATAATTTACAATTCAACATGATTAATCATGTATTGTATGCACAACAACAGATTTCTACTTGCAAATTAATTGGAAAATCCACGTGGCAACATTGCCCCTCTACTGACAGCTTAATGCCCATTTGCAGGCCATTTTTGCATGCAGCTCATTTCACATAGAGCTGCCACTGGGGGGTCACCTTGGTTAGACTATAGCAGGGCGGTGGAATGGCTGTGATGAGATGTGATGCAAGCTGCTTTGATCTGCTCAGGAACTTAAGCACCCTATCAATGCAAATCATCATCTTAAGTAATATATTAATCGTTACATGCCTATAATTTCAAGGTATTCCAAGTAAGTGTACAAAACTAATAGTATAAAAAAAACAAATGCAACTAATGTTGCAGATTGTACTGAAGATAAAATGATCATACCTTTCCCATTTTCTCCAAGGCCTTCGCAGCTTTAGGTCGATCGCAGCTATTTGTGTACCAGGTCTGAGAGTCCATGTCCTAAAGATGTAAAATATAACAACCATTCTGAGTCCGTGGACCAGAGCAGAAATCGCTACCGCCAAATATCGCGAAAAATTTGTTGTACCGATTTATTTATACGGCCAATACTAGAGATTTACTTGATAATTATCATTATTGTTGACCAACAGCCAAGTGCCATTAAAATATTTAGTAAAATAGTATTGTTTTTCCATATTTCAATGTATAGATTATATATATGCATATGTATGCCAGTGTTAAAATACTATTTTTTTCGTATTTTGATCGAGAATTTAAGAACTGCAAATTGTCACAAACTTACATCTTTGTTTCTTAATTTCATCATATTATTCAAGGAATCTGTAAGACACAAATATAAAATATTTCTAAGGCAAGACAATAAAAAACAAACATTAGTATGTCTAGAAACTTAAATATCATATGTTTTTGTCATGAAAGTTAACTGTAACAAGAATACCACAAAAACAATCCATGCACATGTAATTTATAATAATGCTGCCAGATTCAAAATCTTAAACAGATTATTTGGTATTTTAAGCAATGTTGTAAAGAAACTCATGAATCTGTCCAATAATCAATTTTGCGAAAACAATTTGAAACATACTATGCGCTAACATCCTATTAACTATGCGAGCGTTTCAAGAAGTAAACATCTTGCTGCTCTTCTAATGCACAATTGTGCAAGGGCATCATCATCTTTTTATCACGTGCTACATTTCCTATCTCGTGGCTATAACCTGTACACACATATATAGCGTATAAAAAAACAAGGAAGATTATGACCAAACCATCTGAAATATGCCAAATCCCTTCAGACCTCGGCAGCTTATCAGGGTTGAGCCTGGATAGTGCTTGGATGGACAACCGTCTTGCACGACAGGTTAAGCAGGTGTAGTAGCAGTTGTGGGCAGTAGAGGGCAGTGTAGAAAGATCTCATTAATTTATCGATGGGACCTTACTGCCAGTATGAAACCGATCAAAGAGTAAGATATAACTGAATTTTGATTTAAAGCTTTCGTGACTGCAGGGATTCATACTCTTGGTTCTTTCGGTAAAGTCACGTAGAAGGGAAACAATAAAATAACAAAAATATAAAACAATAAAATTCTCACGACGTTTCGACTGCAACACAAGCAATCATCAGGTGTGAAAACCACAGCAAGACAATTTGAAAAAAGTGGGTTTTTTTATTTTCTTACTGTGGTATTCACACCTGATGATGATTGCTTGTGTTGCAGTCGAAACGTCGTGAGAATTTAATTGTCTTATATTTTTATTATTTTATTGTTTACCTTCTACGTGACTTTACCGAAAGAACCAAGAATATGAATAAGATATAACTGCTCAACCCGATTTATGAAAACGTTGACGCGTGTATTGCCTGTGGACTGTTGATCTTTTGCCATTCTCTGGTCTAACAACTGGTGATACAAGGCCATAAAGAAGGCTGTCTCTGGAGTAGGCCAATTACTTTCCCCCCTCCTCTTACCCTACAGCAGGGGTCAGCAACCTATGGCTCGCGAGCCAGATGTGGCTCTTTTGATGACTGCATCTGGCTCGCAAATAAATCTTAGCTGACATTTCTTAACATGATAAGACTTATCATGTTAAGAAAGACTTATCATGTTAAGAAATGTCAGCTAAGATTTATTTGCGAGCCAGATGCAGTCATCAAAAGAGCCACATCTGGCTCGCGAGCCATAGGTTGTCGACCCCTGCCCTATAGAATTAATCTCTCATCACAAATAGCTCTCTCGACAGTAATTTTGCTGTGCTATTTACACCTGATGAAGGATGCTTGTGTTGCCTCCGAAACGTCGTGATTTAATTTAGTTGTTTTTATTTTTTTTATTTTTATACCTACATGACTTTACCGAAAGAACCTTGCAGTCACGAAAACTTCACATCTAGAACTTTCAAATAAGACAATGTATACTATTATCAGATCCTTTTTTTGCGTATTTTTCCACACGTATGTGTGGTTAATGCAGACTTGATGCCGTGCAATAGGTATCTATTTGGTGTTTGAACATCTTAACACCTGTTTAACTTTCCAGAAAGAGCAAAGCCTACTCTTATCTATTTATTCGTCTGCGCTCTCCCTACCTTCACCAACCCACACTGACCAGCGTGGTGAAGTATGGTCCACTAACACTCATGCCCTGCACGGCGTGGGCAGGCCCTCATTCAGCAGTGGATTGACAAGCGGGCTTCACGCGTGCGTGTACAAGGGTCATGTCCTATTTACTCCACAATAAAACAAATATATCGACCTGTGTTACAGAAGTATTTTTACGTACCGAAGCACCCTCAAGTGACAGGATATGAGCACATAGTACGGGCTGGCCCAGATGTATTGTGACCCCCCAATTAATTGACCCGAACGTTGTATTTCCCTGGCATGTTAATTTCTGTTTTGAATTCAACTTACTTTTTATTTTAAAAAAAATTGTTTTAAAGATTAAACGGGGGTCACAAGACATCTGGACCAGCCTACATATTACAAGAGGTATACAAATAAATATCCATGTACAGTGTATAAAAGGCAAAATTGTGAATATGTGTGTCTGTTAAACATGTCTAGCGTACTTCCCGAAATGCAACAAATTTGAAATTTGCCATGTGGGTACTTTCCAAACTGTACACCATGCAAAAAAAATAAAAATACACTTTAGGTTTTTTTTTTTTTGGGGGGGGAGCTCAATAATGCATTTATTTTTTGCACGGTAAGTGAGCTGTGACGTCAAATCTGTCACGTGACCCGCGCATGTGGAAGGGTAACGCATTGTAGTGTAGTGGGTAGCTCGCTGTGTGTGTGTGTGGAAGCGTAACGCATTGTAGTGTAGTGGTTAGCGCGCTGTGTATGTGTGTATGTGTCTGTGTGTGTTTGTGTGTCTGTGTCTGTCTGTGTGTGTGTGTGGAAGCGTAACGCATTGTAGTGTAGCGGTTAGCGCGCTGTGTATGTGTGTATGTGTCTGTGTGTGTTTGTGTGTCTGTGTCTGTCTGTGTGTGTGTGTGGAAGTGTAACGCATTGTAGTGTAGTGGTTAGCGCGCCGCGCTACGAACCTGGCGACCCGAGTTCGATTCCCGCTCATGGCCACCACCGGTGACGATTATTTTAACCGGTTCTGGGCCTCCCCTAGGTCGACTCAGCCTCAAACGTGTAACTGCTGTGCTGTGTGAACATCGCCACTGGGGGGACAAAGGCAGCTGGGTGTGGTGCTGGCCACCCACCCCCTCGTCATTCATAAATGTATGTTTATTTTTTCTAAAACATCCTTGTATAATTATATACTATACAGGTACCCAAATAGTCTTATGATATTTGGTTATCACAATTCCTAATCGGCAGCAAATGTTTTCACATATTTCTCGAGATAATGTGATTACGTTCTTCGTGTGTACTTTTATAAATTACGAGGAAAAATTGCGAGAATAATAAACGATATAATTACCAGTTAGTGCGAGTCGTCCAATTCTAAAACAAAAAAATAAGAGGAATAAGTTAAATAAATTGTCATGTAAATTACATGAGATTATCACGTACCAGGTTTGTTTCAATGTTGAAACCTCTTACAATGTTTATATAGTGCAATGTGAGGTAGTTCAATGACTATAGAATAAGCAAATCAATAGGGTGACTCACTTGGCTCCAGCTGAGTTAGCAGTTGAAGACGGTTGTGCACTTACATCCGAAATTTTTCTTGGACCTGTAATGCATAAAGTTCCTTTTCTAGTTGCAAGCAGGGAAAAATCATTTTTGCAAAATAGCGGAAATAATCAACTCATTGTGCAGCTCCGATAAAAAAATAAAATGAACATTCATTTTATGTTTTATTTGCATCATCATCATCATCAGCCATGTTCAATCTACTGTTGGATGAAGGTCTCCCCAAGCCGCTGCTACCGCTTTCGTTTCTGTGATGGAATCATCCGCCTAGCACCAGCGAACAAACTCATTTTCTCTCCCATCTCTTCTGTGGACTTACTCTCGGAGGCATTCCATTCCCTGCTTTTTGATTGAAAATCAATAGATCACAACCATTGGAGGTGGTCACTATGTGAAACATCACTTTTTTTTACAATTTCCCATTTCTGTGTTTTATTATACTTTCGTTTTTCATCCCAGAGTGGTCAAAGTGGTAAAAAGTATATATATATAAAACGTTATTGCTCCGTCTTGGTTGATAAAATTCTGATCTGTAGCAAGTTCTATGAATGCATTCCCTCATAACTGTGATGCCACAATGCCCGTATTTGTACTTTATTTTAAAAGTTAATGTTTGTGATGTGGGATGGCGCATTTTGAGCTTAGCAACTGTTTTAGGCCTCACGTCTGTGAGAATGGAGAGGACAAAGTGTGGTATTTCCATAAAACGTGGGTAATGGCCAGATAGACCAGCAGTTATTGGTGGCTCATGACCAGTTCAATGCGCGCTACATCTCTACCTTGAGTTGTCCATTCTCAAGCGGTGTTCACAAGTGAATTGAATTATCTACAAGCTCTCCGATGTGTATCCCGGTTGCGCCGTGTGTTGTTCAGCGTCATGTCCGACGTTTCACCACCGTTGGTCCTCGGAGCTTTCTCAGGAACTGAATCGAAGGTTCCGGAACGTGGAACAAGACCTCGCACATTGCGCCGAACAGCCTCCAGCCACGAGCGTGAAAAGCCACGCAGTGAGATTGATTGATATTTGCGATGCGAAGGCGGTCGGTGGTAATGCACCACTGCTGGGATCTCATCAGATCCAGTTCTACTGCAACACTGCATGCCGTCCATCACATGGAAAATATGCTGATGAAGTCACTGCCATTGCATGCATACTGGTTACTCAAAGAACCCATCTGCGTGTGTGTCACCCGAGACTAGAAAAAAAATCAAGGCGGGCTTTGTAGGCTCACGTACGGCCAATGTGAGCAGTAAGTATCGCGTGGTAAAATAAATTACAGCAGTAAATTTTTACGACTGAAAGCAATATCCCTATAACAACTAGTACTCAAAGGCTTTTGTATATGACCACTTATTATCACATGCAGTCGTGGTGGTTAGTGCACTGTGCTATGAACCCTGGTAACATTAATTGAATTCTCAGCCACGGCTGTCATCAGTGCTGAGTGATATTTTAACTGGTTCCGCACACCATCCTTTACAAACCTGCACTAACCGGCATGGTGAGGTATGGTCAAAACACCCCTACAACCAACATGGCATGGAGAGGCCTTCATCTGGCAGAATAATGACCAAGACTGATGATGATGATAATTAAATGGGGATATATGGATTTCTTTTTATTAGTGATGGGTAGTAAATTATATATTTTTATAATTTGCGGTTTAACAAATACTTTTTAGATATGTAAAATTGTCTTTGTAGTAAAAATAAATTCCTCCCCCCACCCAATGTAATTGTAAAGTACGTACCGTTGGTTGCTTTTAACTTGCCTTTATCACCTCCCTTCAAAGACAAAACAAAATCCACACAGACATTTTAATAAACCATATTTAAATTGGGCGAAGACCCTGGGGGCCTGGCCAAGTACAAGTTAGCAGGACGATGTCGCTCGCCTGGCCTGGGAACGCCTGGGAATTCCTCAGGAAGAGCTAGAGTCTGTGTATAGCAGTGTATAGTGGAGTGTATAGTGTAGTGACGTATAGTAGTGAAAAGTGTATAGTAGTGTATAGTGTCGTAGTGTATAGTAATGTAGTACTGGAGTCTGTCGTCATTATTATAATGACCTACTCAACACGCTGCCGCCACGACCCTCACCAGGACAAGCGGATTGAGAAACGACAGAACAAACGATACTTAAATTGTTTACAAGTCACTACAATGACAATAATATAGTGAACATACAGGCACAATAATGAGCATGTTTATATTCTTGGTTCTTTCGGTAAAGTCACGTAGAAGGGAAACAATAAATAATAATAAAAATATATAAAACAATACAATTCTCACGACGTTTCGACTGCAACACAAGCAATCATCATCAGGTGTGAGAACCAAAACAATAATTTTTTTAAAAAAAAAATTCAAATTTTCTTGTTGTGGTTTTCACACCGGATGATTATTGCTTGTGTTGCAGTCGAAACGTCGTGAGAATTGTATTGTTTTATATTTTTATTATTTTATTGTTTCCCTTCTATGTGACTTTACCGAAGGAACCAAGAATTTGAATCCCTGCAGTCACGAAAGCTTCAAATCTAAATTTAATGAGCATGTTTGTTTTGTGAAATGTACCAGAGCGATTAGACCAAGAAGTTGGTTGGGAATGACCAGTTTGTTTGGAGTTGGTCCTATATATAAAAACAGAATACAATTTTAAAGATCACAGGATGAATACAAAACACATATTTGGAATACATTTTTGTAAAGTGAAACATTTCAGACATATGCTATATGCAGATTCAATATGTAATAACTGTACCTTGTTAAAATATATCCAAATGTGTGTGTGTTTACGTGTATTAAAATGTGCACTTGTTTTTACCCTGCATTTCTTTACAGTCTTTGTTTTCTGCTCTCTTCAATGGAATAGCCACGAATGTAACATGTTAATAACATTGCTCAGAAACGCCACACAAAATTATAATACGTGACCATACTTTCAGCAGAAGACTCATTTGCACGTGCTTTACGTCCACGCAATAACAAGAATCTAATTCTGTAAAGTGCATCTCCAAATTACTGTGTGCCCGATAACCACATCACTCAGAATGTGTCCGATTTCATAAGATCTCAGGCGCTAAACAGGGTTGAGTCCGGAGAAAGCCTGAACAAGCGGCCACCGTTCAAACAACAGGTGCAAGGAGCCAACTATGTGGCTACGTTGTAAGCGGACAGCTGTCCAGCCAAATCCATTGTTGCATTGTGCTTTGCTCCAACACTGATGCTCCCTGACTTCACCAATGCACTGACCAGCACGGTAAAGTATGGTCAAGTAAGCCCCCATGTGTCGCATGGCGTGGGGAGGCCAGTCATCCAACAGCGGATCGACTTAAGGGGCTGTAACTTGTACCTGTCAAAAAAAATAGTTTTGACATGATACAAAACTAAGTTGTCTTCGGATAAGCGTGGACAAAACACGAGAAGTGATGCTGGTACACAGCGCTTTGCGCCTGTGTGGCATAACACATCGCTAAGCGTGGAGAACTGGCAACCTCTGTAGGAGCGACATGTGTTTTAATAAAAGATAAAGGCGCAGCCTTGCAATGCCTTGCTCATACCACTGCAAGCAGAAGGGGCCCACACTGGAGGTAGCCTCTATAGAGAGTCCCTCTGGAGGGTATTTGGTCTACTCTTCCATGCTGACTAGACGTTTTGGAAAAGGTGGGGATACCCACAGTTTACCCCACCACACGGGGGCAAGGGTGGAGGGGGGGGGGATTTAAGAAACTCGTCCCATTGTTTCAACTGACAAGCTGAGAAATTGAATCGACAGCGGCAACCTGTTGAACCACTCTTCCTTCCGATATTAGGAACCCCCCCCCCCCCCGGAGTTATGCACTTTCAAATGATCTCGATTGAAAACGTAACTTGTTTTGGAACTTATTTTTGTCTTCAGTTTGTTGTCCTTCCCTCGCACATCCGATTAGCGTGGTTGGCCACGTAGAGTGCAAAATAAGTACAACATACACACACACAAATTCAGTGTGCTAACCATTACACCAGGACACCATACCCCCCCCCCCTCTACCTGTTTCATAATTATCCCCAACATATGCTTCAGGATGGCTGGTTTAAACCGATGGCACGTGGATATGGAGGGTAGCATGCAGGACCACCCAGCAGTTACTCCATAAATCTCAAACAGCAATTAGGTACATACCTTGATTGCTGGTGCCTGGTCACTTTTACGTCTGCAAAGACACGTGGGGATGTTATTACATGAGCATAAAGAACAGTCTGAAGTATGTAGACAAAAGTGCAGTTTCTGCTGGAGTCTATCCAGGCAAGGCAGGAGTTATCATTTGTCCATTTCATGATTTAGTTTACACTTGTGCTCTGGGAATCCTTTCAAAACTCTCAGAGTACAACGCATCACATTGTGTAAAAGAGTAGCCGTTGGGAGGTGACATTGGGAGGTGATATTGGAAGGAGACATTGGAAGGAGATATTGGAAGGAGATATTGGAAGGAGATATTGGAAGGTGATATTGGAAGGTGATATTGGAAGGTGATAATGGAAGGTGATATTGGAAGGAGATGTTGGAAGGAGATATTGGAAAGTAACATTGGAAGGAGATATTGGAAGGAGATATTGGAAAGTGATATTGGAAGGTGAAATTGGAAGGTGATATTGGAAGGTGATATTGGAAGGTGATATTGGAAGGTGAAATTGGAAGGTGATATTAGAAGGTGACAATGGAAGGTGATATTGGAAGGTGATATTGGAAGGTGATATTGGAAGGAGAAATTGGAAGGTGATATTAGAAGGTGAAATTGGAAGGTGATATTGGAAGGAGATATTGGAAGGTGATATTGGAAGGTGAAATTGGAAGGTGATATTGGAAGGTGATATTGGAAGGTGATATTGGAAGGAGATATTGGAAGGATATATTGGAAGGTTATATTGGAAGGTGATATTGGAAGGTGATATTGGAAGGTTATATTGGAAGGAGATATTGGAAGGTGATATTGGAAGGAGATGTTGGAAGGAGATATTGGAAGGTGATATTGGAAGGTTATATTGGAAGGTGATATTGGAAGGTGATAATGGAAGGTGATATTGGAAGGAGATGTTGGAAGGAGATATTGGAAGGTGACATTGGAAGGAGATATTGGAAGGAGATATTGGAAGGAGATATTGGAAGGTGATATTGGAAGGTGATATTGGAAGGTGAAATTGGAAGGTGATATTGGAAGGTGAAATTGGAAGGTGATATTGGAAGGTGAAATTGGAAGGTGATATTGGAAGGTGACAATGGAAGGTGATATTGGAGGGTGAAATTGGAAGGTGATATTGGAAGGTGACAATGGAAGGTGATATTGGAGGGTGATATTGGAAGGTGATATTGGAAGGAGATATTGGAAGGTGATATTGGAAGGTGAAATTGGAAGGTGATATTGGAAGGAGATATTGGAAGGTGATATTGGAAGGTGAAATTGGAAGGTGATATTGGAAGGTGATATTGGAAGGTGATATTGGAAGGAGATATTGGAAGGATATATTGGAAGGTTATATTGGAAGGTGATATTGGAAGGAGATATTGAAAGGTGATATTGGAAGGTGAAATTGGAAGGTGATATTGGAAGCAGATATTGGAAGGTGATATTGGAAGGTGAAATTGGAAGGTGATATTGGAAGATGATATCGGAAGGTGATATTGGAAGGAGATATTGGAAGGATATATTGGAAGGTTATATTGGAAGGTGATATTGGAAGGAGATATTGGAAGGTTATATTGGAAGGATATATTGGAATGTGATATTGGAAGGAGATATTGGAAGGAGATATTGGAAGGATATATTGGAAGGTGATATTGGAAGGAGATATTGGAAAGAGATATTGGAAGGTGATATTGGAAGGTGATATTGGAAAGTGATATTGGAAGGAGATATTGGAAGGAGATATTGGAAGGAGATATTAGAAGGTGATATTGGAAGGTGATATTGGAAGGTGAAATTGGAAGTTGATATTGGAAGGTGATATTGGATGGTGAAATTTGAAGGTGATATTTGAAGGAGATATTGGAAGGTGATATTGGAAGGTTATATTGGAAGGTGATATTGGAAGGAGATATTGGAAGGTGATATTGGAAGGTTAAATTGGAAGGTGATATTGGAAGGTGATAATGGAAGGTGATATTGGAAGGAGATGTTGGAAGGAGATATTGGAAGGTGACATTGGAAGGAGATATTGGAAGGAGATATTGGAAGGAGATATTGGAAGGTGATATTGGAAGGTGATATTGGAAGGTGAAATTGGAAGGTGATATTGGAAGGTGAAATTGGAAGGTGATATTGGAAGGTGAAATTGGAAGGTGATATTGGAAGGTGACAATGGAAGGTGATATTGGAGGGTGAAATTGGAAGGTGATATTGGAAGGTGACAATGGAAGGTGATATTGGAGGGTGATATTGGAAGGTGATATTGGAAGGAGATATTGGAAGGTGATATTGGAAGGTGAAATTGGAAGGTGATATTGGAAGGAGATATTGGAAGGTGATATTGGAAGGTGAAATTGGAAGGTGATATTGGAAGGTGATATTGGAAGGTGATATTGGAAGGAGATATTGGAAGGATATATTGGAAGGTTATATTGGAAGGTGATATTGGAAGGAGATATTGAAAGGTGATATTGGAAGGTGAAATTGGAAGGTGATATTGGAAGCAGATATTGGAAGGTGATATTGGAAGGTGAAATTGGAAGGTGATATTGGAAGGTGATATTGGAAGGTGATATTGGAAGGAGATATTGGAAGGATATATTGGAAGGTTATATTGGAAGGTGATATTGGAAGGAGATATTGGAAGGTTATATTGGAAGGAGATATTGGAATGTGATATTGGAAGGAGATATTGGAAGGAGATATTGGAAGGATATATTGGAAGGTGATATTGGAAGGAGATATTGGAAAGAGATATTGGAAGGTGATATTGGAAGGTGATATTGGAAAGTGATATTGGAAGGAGATATTGGAAGGAGATATTGGAAGGAGATATTAGAAGGTGATATTGGAAGGTGATATTGGAAGGTGAAATTGGAAGTTGATATTGGAAGGTGATATTGGATGGTGAAATTGGAAGGTGATATTTGAAGGAGATTTTGGAAGGTGATATTGGAAGGTTATATTGGAAGGTGATATTGGAAGGAGATATTGGAAGGAGATATTGGAAGGTGAAATTGGGAGGTGATATTGGAAGGTGATATTGGAAGGTGATAATGGAAGGTGATATTGGAAGGTGATATTGTAAGGTGAAATTGGAAGGTGATATTTGAAGGAGATATTGGAAGGTGATATTGGAAGGTGATATTGTAAGGTGAAATTGGAAGGTGATATTTGAAGGAGATATTGGAAGGTGATATTGGAAGGTGATATTGGAAGGTGATATTGGAAGGAGATATTGGAAGGAGATATTGGAAGGTGAAATTGGGAGGTGATATTGGAAGGTGATATTGGAAGGTGATAATGGAAGGTGATATTGGAAGGAGATGTTGGACGGAGATATTGGAAGGTGACATTGGAAGGAGATATTGGAAGGAGATATTGGAAGGAGATATTGGAAGGAGATATTGGAAGGTGATATTGGAAGGTGATATTGGAAGGTGAAATTGGAAGGTGATATTGGAAGGTGAAATTGGAAGGTGATATTTGAAGGAGATATTGGAAGGTGATATTGGAAGGTTATATTGGAAGGTGATATTGGAAGGAGATATTGGAAGGAGATATTGGAAGGTGAAATTGGGAGGTGATATTGGAAGGTGATATTGGAAGGTGAAATTGGGAAGTGATATTGGAAGGTGATATTGGAAGGTGACATTGGAAGGAGATATTGTAAGGAGATATTGGACGGAGATATTGGAAGGTGATATTGGAAGGTGATATTGGAAGGGTATATTGGAAGGTGATATTGGAAGGTGATATTGGAAGGAGATATTGGAAGGAGATATTGGAAGGTGATATTGGAAGTAGATATTGGAAGGTGAAATTGGAAAGTGATAATGGAAGGTGATATTGGAAGGTGATATTGGAAGGAGATATTGGAAGGAGATATGGGAAGGTGATATTGGAAGGCGTTATTGGAAGGTGATATTGGAAGGAGATATTTGAAGGTGATATTGTAAGGTGATATTGTAAGATAATATTGAAAGGTGATATTGGAAGGAGATATTGGAAGGAGATATTGGAAGGAGATATTGGAAGGTGAAATTGGGAGGTGATATTGGAAGGTGATATTGGAAGGAGATATTGGAAGGTTATATTGGAAGGAGATATTGGAATGTGATATTGGAAGGAGATATTGGAAGGAGATATTGGAAGGATATATTGGAAGGTGATATTGGAAGGAGATATTGGAAAGAGATATTGGAAGGTGATATTGGAAGGTGATATTGGAAAGTGATATTGGAAGGAGATATTGGAAGGAGATATTGGAAGGAGATATTAGAAGGTGATATTGGAAGGTGATATTGGAAGGTGAAATTGGAAGTTGATATTGGAAGGTGATATTGGATGGTGAAATTGGAAGGTGATATTTGAAGGAGATTTTGGAAGGTGATATTGGAAGGTTATATTGGAAGGTGATATTGGAAGGAGATATTGGAAGGAGATATTGGAAGGTGAAATTGGGAGGTGATATTGGAAGGTGATATTGGAAGGTGATAATGGAAGGTGATATTGGAAGGTGATATTGTAAGGTGAAATTGGAAGGTGATATTTGAAGGAGATATTGGAAGGTGATATTGGAAGGTGATATTGTAAGGTGAAATTGGAAGGTGATATTTGAAGGAGATATTGGAAGGTGATATTGGAAGGTTATATTGGAAGGTGATATTGGAAGGAGATATTGGAAGGAGATATTGGAAGGTGAAATTGGGAGGTGATATTGGAAGGTGATATTGGAAGGTGATAATGGAAGGTGATATTGGAAGGAGATGTTGGACGGAGATATTGGAAGGTGACATTGGAAGGAGATATTGGAAGGAGATATTGGAAGGAGATATTGGAAGGAGATATTGGAAGGTGATATTGGAAGGTGATATTGGAAGGTGAAATTGGAAGGTGATATTGGAAGGTGAAATTGGAAGGTGATATTTGAAGGAGATATTGGAAGGTGATATTGGAAGGTTATATTGGAAGGTGATATTGGAAGGAGATATTGGAAGGAGATATTGGAAGGTGAAATTGGGAGGTGATATTGGAAGGTGATATTGGAAGGTGAAATTGGGAAGTGATATTGGAAGGTGATATTGGAAGGTGACATTGGAAGGAGATATTGTAAGGAGATATTGGACGGAGATATTGGAAGGTGATATTGGAAGGTGATATTGGAAGGGTATATTGGAAGGTGATATTGGAAGGTGATATTGGAAGGAGATATTGGAAGGAGATATTGGAAGGTGATATTGGAAGGAGATATTGGAAGGTGAAATTGTAAAGTGATAATGGAAGGTGATATTGGAAGGTGATATTGGAAGGAGATATTGGAAGGAGATATGGGAAGGTGATATTGGAAGGCGTTATTGGAAGGTGATATTGGAAGGAGATATTTGAAGGTGATATTGTAAGGTGATATTGTAAGATAATATTGAAAGGTGATATTGGAAGGAGATATTGGAAGGAGATATTGGAAGGAGATATTGGAAGGTGAAATTGGGAGGTGATATTGGAAGGTGATATTGGAAGGTGATAATGGAAGGTGAAATTGGGAGGTGATATTGGAAGGTGATATTGGAAGGTGACATTGGAAGGAGATATTGTAAGGAGATATTGGAAGGAGATATTGGAAGGTGATATTGTAAGGTTATATTGGAAGGTGATATTGGAAGGTGATATTGGAAGGAGATATTGGAAGGAGATATTGGGAGGAGATATTGGAAGGTGATATTGGAAGGAGATATTGGAAGGTGAAATTGGAAAGTGATAATGGAAGGTGATATTGGAAGGTGATATTGGAAGGAGATATTGGAAGGAGATATTGGAAGGTGATATTGGAAGGAGATATTGGAAGGTGATATTGGAAGGAGATATTTGAAGGTGATATTGGAAGGTGATATTGTAAGATGATATTGAAAGGTGATATTGGAAGGTGATATTGGAAGGTGATATTGGAAGGTGATATTGGAAAGTGATATTGGCAGGTCATATTGGAAGGTTATATTGGAAGGTGAAATTGGAAGTGATATTGGAAGGTGATATTGCAGAGCTATTTCTGAGATCACTCCAATGACCCCTTATCCGCACATGCGTTGCTCCACTTTCCAACATATCCTGCTATACAGATGTTCATTGCTTGGGCAATCAACCCATATTAAAACAAAAACAATTCTGAACTTAAATTTTAAGTTATTGCGTCCGATCTTTGATTACTTAGCCGAGACCATAAACTCACTACACTTGACGACCTGGGTTAATCTCAGGAGACCGAAACCTGACACTGAATCAAGGATCTCAGGACTTTGACTTCAGGCTACCTCTTGGCAAAGTAGGATTTTAAAGACCTATATTCTTCCCGAAAAAAATGTATTGCTCCGCAAATACATGCACCTGTTTTCCACAAACAACAGCCATTCCATGTAATTGTCTAGGTCAGGGGTTGTGCGACCTGTAACAGACCAAAAGCCAACAAGTACCTATGTATTCTGCAAAGAGCCAAGAGTATATATAGACAATCTTGATTTGAAGTTTTCGTGACTGTTCGATTGCAACACAAGCAATCGTCATCAGGTGGAAAGCTACAGCAGTCGAACTGCTGAACAAGAAAGGGCTGCTGCAACAAGAGGTTATATAGACAGGTTTGAGGTGGGTGTCACCCAAGGGTAAGTAGGCGGGGTCAGAGATGGAAAGGAGTCCCATCGCCGTACGCATGCGACCGAAACGTCGTGGATTTATTATTTATTTTTCTTTCTACCTACGTGACTTTTCCAAAAGAACCGAAGAGTATATATAGACAGTTTTCGGCACAACACGGGAGACATTCATTATTCTTTGCTACCGTGACACTACGTTCTACGTTATGCCCCTTCGATAGAGCTGCAGCTGGCGAATTAAAGAGCCACACGGGGCTTGGGAGACGCCGATTGGCCCACCGCTGGTCTGGGTTGTTATATCACAGGAGCAATATGCCACGTTTTCGACGTCAGCTTTTGGAAAATCTGTGTCACCTCATCTTGGTCGTAACTCGGGCCCCTCTTTGTAGAGCAGCACTGAAAAAAAAAACTGCCTTTGGAGGAATCAGTGAGCTATCACACGTTCTAAAAATAAAAAAACACCGATGGCACGTGTTCGTTTCAACTCATATTTGTCACATCGAATGTGGAAGACAGCATCCACCGTAAGCAATGGAGCACAGAAGTTGGACATGTAACGATCCTATCAGGTGCGCATTTAAAAAGCGAGTCTCATTTATTCGGATGCACGGATGGAATTGTGCGCATGAAACATGATTGTTTGTTGCTCATATACGTTGTGTGTAGTTGTTTCAAGGGAGTCAAGCAGACACTAGAGGCTTTCAGTTTACCAAAATCGAAAAATAAATAATCCGCTCTGGCATCGAATTGAAATCCCTGATCGTGACAATTAATCGAATCATTCCACACCTACTATGAAAGCATTCAGATCACCTCCATTGCACAACACAATTGAAACACTATCATAATAGATAGCCCTTTCTTAATCCATTAACAGATGAAGTCCTCCCCTTGCCATGTCAGTGTTGGGAATTGGTCGGCTATATCTCGCCACGCAGGTCAGCACAGGTTGGTTCAGATATCACATGCTCCTCATGTTAGCCATGGCCGGGAGTTAAACTCTGGTTGCCAGGTTTGCAGTGCAGTATGCTAACCACCGTTGCCACCGTTGCACAATGTGGTACATAAACTCTAACTGGATCATTCATCGTTGGCCCCTAGAGTCATATACATTACTCAAAAGCACTACAGCATTGGTTGAGAATTTTATGCAAGCAATTATAATCAAGAGGATCATTGAGCCAATCATGTTACCACTTAAATTCATCACATGGACTTGTGCTTCGACTACAGTAAGGCAGTATTACAATGACCCAGAACGTATTGATACAGTACATACTAATGTGCATTGTTCGTGCATGGCACATTTTTTTGTGCTGTACCTATTTAGTGGCAGAATGATGGAATAAATAGCCACAGTACAACATCATGTATCCAATTAGTTGGGGACTAATGTATGGATGGACATGTGAAATATCGGACATATGAACATCTCTATAAAATGAGAGTTACACCACGCACAAATACTGCATTAGGTGTGGGCAATTAATTTGTCATGACGGATATGTGATGGTCGGATATGTGACATTGCACTGTACATGAAGTGGAATACAGTTTATTGCTCCGCTTGTAAATTTAAAGAAGTTGTGATTTTAGTTTGGCTGACAGTAGTACAAAATATAATTATTTAAAACAGCATTTATTATTTTAGCAACCTACCCAGGATGTTGTCCAATCTTTGGTCTGTCACTCTGAAAGTAAGACAATGACAAAAAAAAATAACGAATCATCAGCTTTCCTGTTTGTAAAATAAAAGTGTAAAATTAATGCGTTATTTAAAAAAATGCACTTTGGTGTGGATGGTGGTGTCACGGCACAATAGCATTATCCCCACCTCTGGAACAGGCGGGCGAAATTCTGCAAAATATAGACAGTGATCCAAATGAATTCAACAAAACCATCAGTGTAATCTGGAATCAGGCACTTCATGACAATCTTTGATCCGATGTTTGAAGGTAAAAAAATATCATCCTACATCTACATTCGTATGTTGCGTGTTGAAAATAAATAAAACTGTGAAAGGATTCTATTTTATAAAAAAAAAAAACTAATACGGGTGCTTGTCGTTTAAAAACCCTACGACATTCATAACATTTTAACTTTATTTTTTAAATCTGTTACGCAATTTGAACGCTGCAAAACACTTGTTTAATAACACTTCACACGTATAATCCAACGCATAATAATTTCACGCACGGTGTAATTCGAATGTAGAAAAACAAGCAAGCTGGCACAAATACCTGAATTAATTTGTTTGCTGCCACCTCCAGGGATTGGTGGTTTTTTTGGCACCTGTGTATTGTTTGGATTTTGATTGCACAGTTTTCTTGCCGCAGGGGTATCTTGATTGGCCAACGTTGGCACAAAACCTAGCCTGGGTTTGACTGGATTAGATGCCGGATGGCTTGAAATGGACACTGGAGGTCTGAAATCTGGGTTTTTTAAAACAGGGGGCCTGGGTGGTTCTGGGGTTACAATACCACGGCCCCTTTCATAATTCGCTTGCATTGGCTTTAAGCTCCTTATCACCTGAGGGGCTGATACAAAAAACAAGCACAGCATTCTTCTTCAAATGTCATAAAAGTCACACGCACAATGATAATTATGCGGGTCAATATACCATGTTCCAAACGAATGTGTAGCTTCGTCGTTCGAGTATTGATGTCGCCAGTCTAGTTTTGCTGTTTATCTGTATATCTACATGCCACGCAGACGAGCCACACCAACTGAGCAGTGGCCAGGTCGCTTTTGAAAAATAAGTTGACACCTCAGTTGGCTTTGCCTGGTACGATGGGGCATGGTTTAGTTGTATTTGTATGCGTTTGGGTGATTTCATTACCTTTCTTGCACTCATATTCTTGGTTCTTTCAGTAAAGTCGCGTAGAAGGGAAACAATAAAATAATAAAAATACAAAACAATAAAATTATCACGACGTTTCGACTGCAACACAAGCAATCATCATCAGGTGTGAAAACCACAGCAAGAAAATCGTCGTGAGAATTTTATTGTTTTGTATTTTTATTTTTTTATTGTTTCCCTTCTACGTGGTGACTTTACCGAAAGAACCAAGAATATGAATCCCTGCAGTCACAAAAGCTTTACATCAAAATGTCTTGTATGGTTTATTGTTGTAACGATCTTACCCGCCCCTACTGAACATCTATGAAAAAAAAATCTGTATAGCTCATCGGATTCCTCCACTATAAATACATATTCTGATTCTGAAAAAAATGGTCCAGAACCCTCCAGACAAAGTAAGTTCTTTTTTTTTTACAGACAACTTTATTACATTGATATTATTGATATTATTTTCTATTTTTATATATACTGTTGATTTATGATCGATCAACAAATAACGTTACAAGAGATCAATGTGACATTTGAGAAAGAAGTGAAGAATGCACGATGGATGAAAAAATACCGAGATATACTTACGCGAATTCTGATTAGGATCGATATAGGATTCCTCAGCTGTTTCATAAATCTAGGAAAATGTTAAGTAAAAATAAACACATTCAAGACGTATTATAAGACACGGAAAGAATAACACGTATCGGAAGTGGTGTGTATTTTTTTTTTATCTTGTAGCAACTTGAAATGTTTCAGTTAGGACTTGAAAATATGTATGTTGAGTATAATTTATGCCATTGTGTTCTATGTATTAAATCTTGGTGGGGGAGAATATCACTTTAAATAGCATTGTTATGCTTATACTCACCTCATGTTGTGGATGTTGTTGTTTTTGTTGATTGTTTTCCCATGGAGAACGTACAACGTCTGGTTTTTAAAATAAAGTAGTACGTTAAATATTATTTGAGTCGCAGTCTTAAGTCTTGTCAATGATAATAATTAAATAATTGCTTTTTGTCTCGTCGACTAGACCAGTCAAAGTTTAAGGTCATTGTCAGTCATTAAATGTTTGCCTGAGTGGGCATGTCATTTTTGCAATTCCACCACCAATATTGTGACATCAGCCAATCAGTGATCTCAACAGTCATCTAAATAGTAAAACAAAAATATTTGTATACAGCACATATAGTTCATTATAATGTTGGGTCTTATTCAGTTTGCTGCTGTTACTAATAACATTGCTGTAATAAAATATCGTAGTTTAAACCTTCATCCAGACAAGATCTTGTCTGGCGGCCGCGTCGCCATTTGAAAAGAGCAGCTGACTTGGCACTACTTGGGAAATAATAAACGGGTAGATTTTGAACTTCTAGTTAGCTTTAAGTAGTTAAATTCAGTCATCCTTGGGTCTTTCCTTGGTAGTATTCGTCATGCTTGACAGTTGTCGAATGATACTTTTTTTTATTCATATACACGCATATGAAAAAGCATTTTTAAAGCAATGTTCTTCAGAGGGGAAGGGTGGGTGGTAATGTTGGCACAGTTGTTAGTGACGTTGCCCTCTGAACCCAGCTACCCGAGATCGATTCTCAGCCACGTCCAACATCAGTGGTGATATCTGAATCAGAATCTGTACTGATCCTGGAGAAATCCGATGAGCTATGAAGCTCTTTTTTTCCCAGTAGGGGTTGGATCTGACCCAATTCTGGGTCCCCCACCACTTCCCCTTCAGCAAACAAGACCCCAATGGGACCCTCATCCGGCAGTGAATTGGAAAGAAAGGGATGCGCATTGCCATTACTCCTTGTTCTTTAGTGAAAAAAGGGCACGTACCGACATAGGGTTTTTCAGCACTATTCGTCTTGTAAGAGAATGGAATTTTTGCCTCTGACTCGGGTTCTTCGTACATGTCCTCTTCGATGGGCGAATCGTATTCACTGTCACTGGAACTCTGAGGAAGGCACACTTCTCTGTGAGCAACAAAAGTCATCTCAGACCACCGAGCTTGCTGATGACGAGTGCTGCCAATTTGGATCGCCCCTCATTCATATTACGCTCGGGAATGATGGGAAACACAACGCAGTCCACACTGAACAATGACGCGAAATGTGTCACTGCACACAACCACATGAAACACAAGCTAAGCATAGTGTCCTCTTCCTAGCTGCTGTTAACGACGGTAGAATTTAGGGTGACCCGTTTGTGAGATACCTCACTGATTTTTGTACGGCCCCCTTTCTTCACAACGGGTGGTTGCATATTGTGAACGTGATGGCTGCGTGCGTGAAGATATTTTATAAGCGTATTCAAATTGGTGGGAGACATGTATAGGCGGTTGAATTATAAATTGTATTATCCTTAATGTCTCCGTTATTTTAACGAGGTATCTATAAAACTATCGCCCTCAAACGTACATCGTGCAAATCATATTTTAACTTCAGCTTAAAATATAGCAGAAGAACTCCTACGTCAGCAGTTCTCCTGCTGTGTTTGTTTCACACCTGATGACGGTTGCTTGTGGAGCGATCGCCGTGATTTCTTTTATTTTCTACCTACGTGACTTTACCGAAAGAACCAAAGAGTATGGATTCCTGCAATCACGAAAGCTTCAAATAAAGACTTAAAATATCATTTCCAAGACTAAAAATATTGTGACGGGCAAGATATCGGCACATTACAAGTTATCTTTTTACGCTGCTTTTACTTTCATAGTGAATTAAAGTATGTTTACGCTTTCATCGCACATGGATGCTGAAGTTGTACGTACAAATTCGTTAGTAGGCCATTCTTGGACGAGCTCTTCTTGACATTCTGATGAGGATGAACACAAAATCAGAGTAATATCAGATTAAATATTCGAGGCGTCATGCACGACACTGAACCATGTAGAGCTGTATACGGTATTGCAGTTAGCCTGACGGCTTCGTGTTAATCCTACAATATTAACACTGAGCACTAGATGTCAGAAATGTACAACAAATAAAACTCTAGCTCGAGCACCCCCTTCAGACTTCAAAAAAAGTTTAATTTAATATGTGCAATCTTGATTTGAAGCTTTCGTGACTGCGAGGATCCATTCTCCGGTTCTTTCGGTAAAGTCATAAATAAAGTGCATTACATACTTTCATGCACAGCACTTTTAACAAGACAAAAGCGCCCTTCCATTCGTTTCAAATAGTGAAGCACAATTTTCATCGGACCTCGCCAAAATAGAATTGTAAAGTCTGGGTAGCAGAGGCACAATTGGTTTAGCGCGACTTGCTCTCATTATCTAGTGACATAAGTTCCATTCCAGGCCACTAATAACATCAGTTGCAAACAACATTCGGTCTTGGGATAAACCCCTCCGACCTTTTCCCCAACTCGCACTGATCAGACCTGTGAACGTGCAGTCGAAACAAACCATCTTCAGCCGCGCCATCCATCACTCGATGAAGGAGGCATTCATCTTAGCGATGGCTTATCTTCACACGCCATTGTCTATACGCTGCTGGATACATTCCTCTCGCTCGTAAGGCCATTTGCTGCTGCTACTGCTGCTTCCATCCTTCTCAATGCCGCGTGTGAACCGATCTCTTTGCTCTGTCTCTGTGGCAGTCTCCCTCCATGGAATTGGTTATTAAACTTTCCTTCAGCCTGCACCCCTTTTGGCTCTCAATCGTAATTTGTTTCGATTTAAAGCTTTCGTGACTGCAAGGATTCATCTTCTTTGGTTCTTTCGGTAAGGTCACGTAGAATGAGAATAAAATAATAAAATAACACAATAAAATTCTCACGACGTTTCGGCCACAACGCAAGCGGCCGTCTTCAGGTGAAAGGAAGCTCTGTCGTCCCGACAGGTCTGTACCTTTCACCTGAAGACGGCTGCTGGCGTTGTGGCCGAAACGTCGTGAGAATTTTATTGTGTTATTTTATTATTTTATGCTCATTCTACGTGACCTTACCGAAAGAACCAAAAAGACGTAATTTGTTTGTTGTTTATTATGTTGTTAATAAATACATAGGTAGTTGTACTTACGTTCCCGTGCTTAATGTGTGTTTTTGATGATTTTACCTTCTAAAAAAAAATCTGGCCGTGTCTCGCACCCCCCAGAAAGGGCATCTCGCACCACCCAGCGGGGCTGCTGCACCCCGGGTTAAGAAGAAAAATTACCACCGCTCTTTGGATTCAGTCCCTCGTTCGGCTGTCATCGTCCCTTATAGTGGCGAGTCCTGCTCAATCCCACGTCATTGTCTTCATTATTGGCAATGTGGAATGTCTTTGATTTGTGGTTAGTTCCCTAAGGGGCCGTACATAAATGACGTCACGCGATTTTGGACGATTTTTGACCCCCCCCCCCTCTCGTCACACGGCGTCACAAAAAGTCAGACCACCCCTCAAATATGACGTCACAAAACTCTGCCCCCCACCCCCCCCCAAAACCATATTTTGAAAATAAAACATGCTTCAAATCGCTTTAAACTATTGTCATTGTAGTGCGTATTTAATGTGGCGCTGCACTCTGATGTTGTAGGAGAAAACATTTATTTAAAAGTCTATTTAATTAAGTAGAACGTATTCTTAGCTCTTTCGGTAAAGTCACGTTGAAGGGAAACAATAAAATAATAAAAAAACATATGAAACAATAAAAATTCTCACGACGTTTCGACCATAACACAAACTGTCGTCATCAGGTGTGTCGGTTTGCATTAATTTATTATTATTATTTTATTGTTTCCCTTCAACGTGACTTTACCGAAAGAGCTAAGAATATGAATTACTGCAGTCACGAAAGCTTTAAATCAAAATTTAAGTAGAACGTGTTGTCTATATTTATTTAAAGTTGCGCATTTTGATGTGACGTCACGTTTCTCAACCCCCCCACCCCTCGTCACACATCGTCACAAATACCTGACCCACCCCCCTAGGTGCGTGACGTCATTTATGGACGGCCCCTAATCCGTGTGTTTATTTTTTTCTGTCGGTGGAAATATCAGGATGACTCTCTCCACACTTTTCAGATTCCCCCCCCACCCCCCTCCTATTTGCTCACGGTTTTTTTAATCCATGTCCAAGCTGGCAGTACCCAGTGATTGGAACCTTTTTCTTTAGAAACATTGGTGTACTCTTTTTCATCATCATCATGTTCAACTCTCCAAAGGAACTCAATCCTGTTCTTGACCCGCCCCTCCTGCACATCTGTAAACAAGAGCTTCATAGCTCATCGGATTTCCTCAAGAAAAAATAAAGATTCTGATGTTTCATCGTTTTTATCAACACATTCTGGTATCTTGAATGGTAGTGTCCTTTCAAAGATACATTTTTATTGCTTAGTACATTTTAATTCAAAATTAGTTTTTGTAAATGCAATGATTATTAGTGTCATTATATACCTACTAGCTTTTTTGCCCGTCCAAGGACGGGTGTAGATTGCAGTAAATGTGAAATATTCTACAGAAAAATTGTTCAGCTCATAATTATTAATGAGGGGGGGGGGGGGGTTGCCCTATGTGGCGTGACGTCACCCGCTATGGTTATTGTGGAGGGGTGCGGCATGTGGAGTGACGTCACCCCCTCATGGTTGTGGAGGGGTGCGGCATGTGGAGTGACGTCACCCCCTCATGGTTGTTGTGGAGGGCTGCGGCATGTGGAGTGACGTCACCCCCTCATGGTTATTAATTAGGGGAGGGTTGCAGCAAGTTGAGTACGCGACCTTCTTGTGCGTCAGTGTAAATTTCCACGCGGGCATGAATATTAATGAAGGGGGGGAGGCCTCTTTTGCAGCGACGTCACGCACGGATGTAGCACTGTGCTCCATATATTTATTTTTTTACCGTCACTTTCACTAAAGAAACGTCACATTTGTAAGCGACTTTGCGTAATAAATTATTTAATTCAGCTCGACCTTCCTCTGCGTTAGTGTAAAAATCCACCCACTCATGAATATTCATGAGGGGGGTGGGCCTCATGTGGAGTGACGTCACGCGCGGGACGGACAGACATTTCTGGGTGATTATAGTAGGTAATTTTAAATAATTCCAATACATTTTAATTGTGATTAATTCAATTCGGAATATTTAAAGTAATGTATTAAAAAGATGATTCGTGCTAAAATTACGTAGTAAATTTTTGCCGTAATTTTGTGAAAATATAAACACCTTAAATGCATAGTAATAGGTTTTTACCCTTTCATCTGGCACAAAAACTGACACCTTATTCAAGGGATCATGCTTGCAATAACCACAACACAAGTAGTCAAAATGCAAACAAAAAAGACAACTCTGATAATAATATGCACTGTCCTTGAATATGATTGGTCCACACCCGAGACGGCTTTTCTTAGAGCCTAGTCTCCACTGGTGTTGGACCAGAAGACGCCAAAAGGCGTACAACTCAAAAACAGCGCACCATCAGAGTATTAAGACCTTAAATGCATGTTTAATTATATATAGGGGATGTATAGCATTAAAAAATGAAATAAAAACGTATAGCTAGCTGCATTAGACGTAATTTTCAGTACACTCTCGCCAAAAGAGAGAACATGCAGGAGGAGATATCCAACGTAGAGATGGAGCGATAAGAGCAGCTTATGTTCTGGAGCAAGATGCATTGCTGCATCATGAGACCGTGTGAGATGGTGATGCCTTGACGAATCTTTAGTCAGTAGTGGATTGATCACGGCCACTGCTACTACAGAAAGTAGCGTGTAGCCAATGTGCACGTTTATATTCTGCATGTAAAGCAAAGTAAAAACCAAGTCTTGGATTATTTTGATTTTTTATTGTATTATTAACACGTGGAAATTAATCGAGATCTTGACAGCATATCATAATCGGGAGCCTCCCTATTATGCATCTATATCCCCAGGACTTCACGAAAGTGTCATTGTAACTGGCCCTAAGACTTTGCAGTCCATCAATTATCTGCGAAATAATACGGAACACTTTTTTACCCTAAAACAAGCTTTTGGATTTAACTTACAGGAAACATATTCTTGGTTCTTTCGGTCAAGTCGCGTAGAAGGGAAACAATAAAATAATACAAATATAAAACAATAAAATTTTCACAACGTTTTTTTATTATTTTATTGTTTCCCTTCGACGTAACTTTACCGAAAGAACCAAGAATATGAATCCCTGCAGTCACGAAAGCTTTAAATCTAAATTGTACATGAAACACTCACCTTGCAGGTCACTATTCACGTGCAACTTAGCAGGCAGAAACTGTGCGCCCTGTTCGACATTCCTGTAATGATAATCCCGAACACACAATTTACGCGCACACAAAGAAGTGGGGATGTAACAATCTTCTGTTCAGAATATCCCTTTAGAATATCTGAATGAAGATGAAAGCGCAGACGTAGTCATGTTGAAGTTCCGTGCAAAACTTGTTACTACTGGCCAAGGCTAATTAGAGAATCTATCGAAATTGAGAGAAATAAAAAAGAATTTAACCGTTCGGATAGCTACAGAAATAGTGCTGCTTGGAAGGGAATCATCAAATAATAAATTTGTTTCAATGCATGCCTATACAGGCCACTATACTG